CATTCCTTACAATCGCTGCGTCGTCACCAGCTCTCGACACGTTTGTCATTCAAACAATCAAATGCCGCATGCATGGCCAGCAACAGCGACATGTCAACAACCGACACCAACACAAATCATACCTGCAAGGAATATGGAGCCATCTGCACCCACAGCAATTGCGTCCAGGGTATCGTCCTCGACAGTGCCATTCTTTCGAGAGGTGCACCAGAATCATGGACGCATGCACACGGACAGGGTGCGGGATACGTAGGGCAACGAAGCATGGACGCACAGCCGGGGTCACACAAGAGGAATATTTCATATTTTCTGCTGGGGTATATGTTTGGTGTTGTTAGTACTGCAATACAACGTGTACGCGTACAGCTCTGCATTCTAGACTCCAGACTGGCAGAAAGGTGTCCTCAAGATTTACGCGCACACAAAATATACATTCTAGACTCCAGAGTGACAGAAAGACGTTCTGAAGCTGTACCTTAGTCTACCGTAGGTGGTCGCATATATTTTTAGACACAACGGCTGCAGGCCCTTCTTACTAACACACGATAGCCCGATGCCCCCATTGTTGTTGCGTGTGTGTGTGTGTTTTCGTCCTATTTATTATGGCGACAATCCCCCCATTTTTCGTGGTGAGACGTGTACTACACTTTTCAGTGTATTTTTTCGAACAACTACAACCATCCAGGGTCACACAGGAGGGGGTAAACACCAGGGCTTTCTTCTTCTCTTTATTGATTGTCATGCCCCGCCTTCCTCTTGCGGTGCGCGCTGAGTTTTATTTTTATCGCGAGAAGGGTCCAGCCATCCTTTTCCCTCGTCAACGGTGCTAACGACGAAGTTTGGTACTCACGAGAGCTTGTCAGCTATATTTCGCTTTCACCCGCACATTTCGTAAATTTTTCACCCCATGGGGATTCGAACGCACGACCTCTGCGGCCAGTGGCTTACGACGATACCACTAGACCACCGGGGCGACCGTTGCGTGTGGGGAGATCAAAGCACATCAAAAGCTGTGGGCCGCCTTGTCTCGCGCACAGCGCCAACAGAGCCGGGGTTGCGGTGCAACAGTCGCCTCAGGCACAAGCTGGTACACCAAGGTGCAAACAACGGGCTGTTGTCTCTCGTGCTCTGTTCTTGGGGGGTGCTAGATGTACGGCGTATCCACAATGCTACACGACTTGTAGCAATGAATATGCTGTTCTGTTATGGTACATCCTACCAACAAAGTACTAGCCATTCTGAAGCTGTAGCTTCAGTCTCATCGTTCGATATCCGTGGGTGGAACTTTCATTCGCATCCCCAACCCCTGCCCCGATCTCAAATGCTGATCTCGGGCTACAGTGCAAATCTCGTGGCGCCTCAAGTATTGTTCGGTAGGGAATCACAAACCATGACACCTCCCCCGAGTTTGGGCAGCTTGCACCTCCTGTGGCCGGCAAGAGTGGGCCTTCACTGCTGTAGCTTGTCTGTTTCGCCATGGGAATGGCCGGCTGAACAGCGAAAGAGGGTCCTGTGCGCTGCGCGCCACAACTTTTTTTTTTGCGTTTGTGATTTTCTTCCTGAGTGACCAGTTGCAGTACACAACATGCGGCTGCTGCTGTGCAAATACATGCGGTTGCTGCACTATATGCCCGGGATGCACACGTTGCTCGCGTCTCCTCGTTATCCATGAAGAGCAACGGCAGCACAGTTGAAGAGACAAACAGACGGTCCGCCTTAGTTTTTTTTTTGTATTGCTGCGTGCATGGGTGGTATGAATCGATCGGTAAGCGTGTTGCTGCCTTTCCCTGCTGGGTGGTCGTAACTCGAGCGATAATATAGATGGCAGCACAATCTTTTTTAAGTAGTGAGGTACGATAACCAACAATCTGCTCGTTCGTGCAGCGGTGTGCATCTATCGCGGACGGCAAGCGTATTAAGACAATACTGTAGTTCGCCCGAGGTGCTAATCATGTTGTTTTTAGTTCTCACTTGTACCGCAAATAATAGTCCACAGTTCGCAAACGGCGACGAACAATAGTTTTATGTTGTTGCGAAGCCGACATCAGATATCGCCGTTCGATACACATCATGTTTGACAGCCTGCGGTGGACCAGAGGGACGAGAGGGACTGTCTTCTTCAGAGCTAATGCCTTGTCCACTCTCCCCTCTCTTCTGTTATTCCACCTCTCTCTCTCTCTCTCTCTCTCTCTCTCTCTCTCTCTCTCTNTCTCTCTCTCTCTCTCCCCCTCTCTCTCTCTCGCCTTTCGCCGGTGGGCTCCCAACAACATCGAACGCCAACCGCAGTCGTTTTTCTCCTTTGTCCGAAGCCAAACCTGCTGTCTGCTGCCGCTGTTGTTGAAGAGCGAGAGAGAGATGTAGCGAGACAGGAACTGAACAAACGAGAGTGCTACACATACTAAGAGACAGAGAGCTTACGCACCACAGCACAGCTGCAGTGCCTTCTATTCTGAGTCCATCCTGAGTGTTTGGGTCTTCGTCGAGACACGGATTGATGTAGCAGGTAAACCCTGAGAGCGGGAGCACCGAGCGCCGGAGCGCCGGGTCGCATCGCATTACCGAACCAGCACGGAAGACCGAGTTCTCAATTTGGTTCGGTTCCGCATGATTTCGAACCTACAGTGCTTTTGGATACAGCGGTATTGGCCAACACAAATTTTTTTTTTCACATGACATGATGAGCGGGACCTATTTTCTGACTCTCTGCACTCTCGTGATCCTTCGCCCATTAGCTAGCGTAAACAGTAAGCTGCTGATGACGCCTGCATAGCAGTACAGCAGTAGCTCGAACGATTTGGTCGGTTTGTTGCTCAGTCATTTTCCTCTCGCTGGGGCCGCCCACCTCATCGCAGTTGTGTGGCTCACGACGTACGTTTGGCACACCACGGTAGTCCAAATATGTTTGGCCGAGCGATCCGCTCCATGACATTTGAACTCTGTGTGCCGTGCTACAGCTTGCTGCTGCAGCTCATGCACAATACGGATATCTACTCAGTCAGTTGATGATGCACGATGAACCAAGCGAGTAGACGCCGGGCGCACTTCTGGCGGTGAGGTCCAGGTCTATTGAGCGGGCCGGCGAAAGCCACCAGCACTACCACTCTCCGTTCACCACTACTGTGCATTTTTCATTTTGATGTTTTGTCAGATACTGATACTACTGCTGCTGTAGACTAATAGTATGGCATGAACCGATCCATATTCATTCTCATTTTTAATAGTTTGTATATTGTTACTGCCACGAATGTTGAGTACCACTTACTTATTATCGCGTATCTTGGAATCGATCTATTGAGCGGGGCGGCGAAAGCCGCCAGACCCCATGTAGTATGGAGTATGTACGGATGATGTGATATTTCTGCAGGATGTGATTTGTCTGCAGGCAGGTTGATGCTGTACACCACTGTCATCTGTTGGGCAAGCGTGGCAAAAGGTGCACCACAGTGCTATCTCAATGTTCTCTATATTTGTGAATTGTGACGCGCCGAAATCTTGTATTGGATTAGATGGGGCAATAAACACAGAGAGGCCAAAGAGGGCTGAAAGCATGCTACAACCAAGATGTACGTACGCGTCATAAGCTCTATTGCTAGTCTATAGGTTATTGAATGTATTTATTTGTATAATCTTGGCATTTTATTTCAACATCACCAGGTACAACAACGACGAAGACAAAACACGACAGACAGTTGTAGTATCGATCACGTCAGACTCGACTGTTGCTGTTGTTGTGCTTTTAGAGCTGCTGTTTCGTGGTGCACACATTGGGTGCACCCCGTCGTCTGTGTTGTTGATTTTCCACGATCGAGGGAAACAGCCCGACCATACACTGATGCGAATTTTCGTCTTTCGAAAAGTGTGCGTCAAGAATGCGGGTTGGACCCATGCGTAGAAGGAGGAAACGCCTCGTTCCCTGAAAGGCTCGAAGGACTCATCGCCAACGCCGCATGAGGTTCACGGAGAGACCCCAACTCCACTCTTCTTGTGTATCGAACTGTAACCTTTACGATTCTCGCTCCACTCATTGATCGGGACGTTTTTCATTAATGACAGAGAATGTGATTATGTCGCGTAGAGTCGGGGTCTCTTTCTACACTGCCTGCGCGCGCATCATGACGAAATAACCTTTCCTGCTTGGTCTTCTTGCCCCACAGGAACGAGACGGTGGGGGGAAAGCTATCTGCTTATTCCGGAGGCAATTCGTGCTCGTCGGCAACCTTTGTTGAACGCTCATGATGAAATTGTTCGGGAATCAAGCGACAAGCGTTCAAGGCTAGGAGGGGGGATGGAAAGATGTTGTCTGACCGTACTATTGGGAAAGACGAGAGGGCTGAAGCAATGGCGCAAAAAAACAGCCTTCTAGCAACAAAGATGGCTGCGATCAAGCGTAGTGTCATTCGCACCAAATCCCTACCCGTTGCATGGTGACGGTGTATATACATGCTACCTCAAATTTCATGATATTTCTCCATTCGTGACGCCATCCGACACACAACAACAACAAAAATTCAGTTCAATTTGGGGAGCAGCCGTGGGCCACCACGGCAGCATATTCTTACAAAACAACAACGAATCCATCTCCTCCACGAACTCCACTGAGCACTTGCTACTTTTCGCCGGCAGCCTCGGAGCATTGTACTTGGATATCGGATTCCCTGAAACGGCCCCACTTCGTACCACGGGAGTACTGCTGTACTGTATGATAAGAGTAGTAAAGGTGGGTACTACGGAGATAGTACGTGCTATTACCGACGAAGAGGGTACCTCCGGGAGAGAACACGGAGAGCTTCTGTATGTCGGTGTTTGTCGTTGAACGGAGCTTAGGCCAGCGATATGTCATGTTTTGTTGACTGTCGTTGAATTCTTCCAATCCCCTCTGCCGGTTTCTACTTAGTCCGCACTGTTCCAATTGACGCGGATGCCTTCCGTGGTCGCAGGCTGACTACGGTGGTACCTCAAAAGGGTGCACACAATCGAAATTCGATGAGAGATATGGTGGAAAGGACCCAGACCGAAATGACGACGTAAACGTTGGGTAGACGAGAATAACGGCGTCTAGCGTATGCAGACTATCGGGGGTGTACGTTAACTACTGAGTGCAGCAAGTAGACATCATCACAACCTCTTCGCTCTGCCCTTCCCTTACTGCAGCGTGGGCCGAGAGCCGCCAGCGGGCTTAGACCACCTAAAGAATAAAACCACCGCATATACGCCACCGTCTAACACCGCCGCAAGAGATACCTTACACACTGCAAAGAAAACGATCTGCGCCAACGTGAAGCGAGAATAAACAATGAAGGGTGGGAATTCTCTTCCGATATCATGCCACCATCGGCTGGAACTCGTCGATTTTGTCTAGGAGGACCTTGGAGTAGTTGGGGCTGTAGTACTCCACGATTTCGGGGGGGTAGCACCCGTTGATGGCATGGATGTACTCCTCCAGCTTCCCCCCCACCGTCTCGTTCAATTCCTGTGGGAAAAGAAGACCAAGCAGGGAAGATATTTCGTCATGACGCGCGCTTGCAGTAGAAAAAACACTGACTCTACGCGACATGATCAGATCTCTATCATTCATATAAATGTCCAGATCAATGGCTGGAGCGAGAATCGTAACGTTTACTATTCAATACATTGGAGTGGAGTTGGGGTCTCTCCGTGAACCTCATGCGGCGGCCGCGATGAGTCCTTCGAGCCTTACAGGGAACGAGGCGTTTCCTTCTGCGCATGGATGGGTCCAACCAGCGTTCTTCGCCCAATTTTTTTCGTGAGTCGAAAATCATCAGTGTATGGTCGGGGCTGTTTCTCTCGATGGTGGAAAATCAACAACACAGACGATGGGCTGCGACCAATATGAGCTCCACGTAACAACTTCAAAGCACAACTGCAACAGCTAAGTCTGACGAAGGCGATACTACTGTCGTGTTTTGTCTATGTCGTCGTCGTGCCTGCTGATGTTGTTGAAATAAAATGCCGAGACAGAATAAAGGAAGGTAAAGAAATGGACCGAGAGAGGAAGCGTAAATGACAGGAGAGATATGTTAGATGTACAACATATCCACTGAGCTAAATAGTCAGCGCTGACTGTTTAGCTCAATGGATATGTTGTTTATGTAACAAAAGTACAACCAGGGCTCGAATCCCTCTGGGAGCCATCTTGACGCCTGTTTTCAGGAAAGAGAAAAAAGTCTGGGATACACACCTGAAAGTCATGGTACACATCAGCAGTCGTCAACGATGAAGGCACATTTCCCCGCCTGAAAGCCGATGAACCGCTTGGGGCAGCGCTGATTACAGGGATTACAACCCTGGGGGAAAACCAGAGTCAGACAGCCTAACAGCTGTTCGGACCCTGGTTGTACTATTGTTAGATATACAACATATCCACTGAGCCACTGAGCTAAACAGTCAGCGCGCTGACTGTTTAGCTCAGTGGATATGTTGTATATCTAACAGAGAAGAAGGAATATTCGAAAATAATGCCACTGAAGACACGTGGTGTTCGTTTACTGACCAAATTCTGGGTTGTTGGACGAAAAGCATCCGTCGAAACGAACCCAGCGGGATAAGAAACGCGCACCTGAAGGAACTGCAGGCCCCCGTTCTGGACGAAGGCCCTGCGGGCCTCCACGTCATGCGGCAGCAGCTGGGCGAACTGTCGGAGGACGTACTTCTGCACCTTCACGGGGCTGTCCCTCAGCAGAGGCTGCAGCGCCTGTACAAGATCGAGGGCCGACATCGAACGTATAAATAACTACTGTGACGCGACGATTGTCTTGCTCAACAACAAACCGATTTCTCCACCTTGCACCCTCAGGCGTGCTTCGCGAAGTATTCTAGTGAAGGCGAGCGCAATCAATTTCGAAAAAGGAACAGAACAAGTTATGTGTTTCTGGGTACGCTGGTGCTCTTGGTCCATGGTAGGTCCTAGCTTAAAAGAACGCAGCAAGCGAGCGTGACCCAAACAAACAGTCCACCCCCTCTCAAAAAAAAACGCGCAAAGAAGGAAAAGGTATTGCAACATTGTGAAACTACGCATGGGACAGCGAGCATGTTATGTGCCTTAAACCACATATTTGGTTTACCTGGAGATGGGTGCACTTGGCGAGGATAGCCTTGAGCGCCCGTTTGCTCTTCGTCCTCAGGTCATCGCTGCTGTCGTGGTGGATCATGCACGCCTACGCGTAGCGCGTTGGGGTACAGCAAGGAGTAGCCAGGATCAGGTGAGTTAGGATGAAGCCAGACCGGGCGTAGTAGGGTAGTTCCTCAGCTGTCGTTGCGCATGTCGGATGCGAAACCATTCGTCACACACGACCGGGAGATCACGAGCCGCAGCTGCCGAGCGTCGAAGTGCTACCGCCGGAACAGTGCTTCGATGTACGACAGGCGACGGGCCAACCGCCAGCTCAAGATCCGGCTACTCCAGGCTGAAGTGGT